TTCAAGTGCCTTACCATGGCCCTGTCAGCAAGCCAGTCCACTGATTCATTACCTATTACTCAAGAGTATCCTGGCACAAGAAGATGAGAAATATTGACATCTTAAAAGATCTGAACATCAAGAAAGATTGGCTAATAGTAATAAACATCATCCTTTCTCGAAAGCTGAAATATTTTGGTCATATCAAGCGCCACGACGGATTGGAAAAAAATATAGCAGAAGGCATGGTACCAGGAAGGAGGGGCAGGGGCCGACCGACACAAAGATGGGCACAGGATATAGGTGACTCCTTGAATGTGAAAATGCATGAGGCGGGAGAACTGGCGAGAGACCTAGTTTCTTTCAGGCAGACCGTGATGAGAGCGACGTTATGCAAAGAACCTGCTACATGATGATGATGATCCTGGCACCAAAAAAAAAAACAACTTCTGTCGGAGGAGATTTCTCAAAGATTCTAAATACTGTCTTCGAATCGATCCGATACGATAAGATGTCAGTAATGACATAAATCACGTTAATATCTTTAACATCAATACTAAACCTCGGAATATTTTAATTTTTTTTTTATTACGTCCCCTGAAAAATTACGACATTCATATTTGTTTATCTCCCGTGTCAGAGTAATATTACAAGTTTATAACATTATTACCACAAGTAATTTAATCACTTTACTATAATTTGAATGTAAAAAATATTATCAAAATTGACAGTTTAATAACTTTATAAAATAATTTCAAAAGCAAGGTTGATGCTATATAAAATTTGTCATATATAATTGATTATAAAAATATTAACAACTTTATAATTCTAACATACGGGTTATGGTGGCACTGAAAGTTGACATCTGTTATTTAAGATCATACTTTTAGGGATCATTTCTATAGTATGTCTTGCCGAGACGTCGATCAAACGTGAGCGGCACAAAAGCCACGATGACGAGATCCAGTCACTCCCTCTGAGCGTGAAGCGGGTTCTGGGATTCACCACGGCTCTTGTGGTGGAACCTCGAACCATTGAGGATCGTTCCTCTCCTCCTTTTGTGGGGAGTAGGAGGAGGGAGTGGCAATCTGAGTGGTTTTCCAATTTTTAAACTTACAATGTGATGAGAGCTAAAACTAGTTTAAGAAATGCGAACAATGTTATGTGTTGAAATGGAAATAAAGACTATGCAGTTGCAATGCAAAAGAAGATGAGGCAGTGTGGCTAAATCCACCCCTAAGAAATCATCTGTGAAGCTCAGCGCCCGGCAATAACAACAAAAATGTTTTTTAAACCGTGCAAAACTCCGGGTTTCGTCGCCACCGCTAGAACCAGGAACCCGTATTTTGATCGCTTATGTGTGTCGGGAAAGGGTTGGGGGGGGGGGGGACGACATGTAAGCAGGTATAGGTGATTTTATGTTCTTTTTATGTGATTGCATCAGTGTCCGTTGAGTTATAGTTATATGCTAATGAAAACAGTCTACCACAACGTTCTCTTGTCATTTGCGATTTTATTTTTTACCGGGAAGCTATCTGGGGAAGACAACGAGAGAAGATGCTTGACAGTCTTGTTATGAATTCCAGAGAAATATGACTAAAAAGCTCAACAAAATAGGAAAAAGGAAAACGTGCACAAAACAACACAACGTAACGTTTCGACCGGGCGGCCTTTTTCAAACAGAAGTGGACTACACAAACGAGGAATGGAGAGTATGTAGATCTCTAAGGGGTGACGTGAGCGACGTTTAAAAAATGTGATGCGGAATAAATGAAATAAAATAAAAAAAACGATGGCTAAAAAATATAGTCACAATACTGGGAATAAAAGAAATGCAAGTGTTAATGATACATAAATGATATTGATAAGAAATAGAATATGGTAATAATATGAAATAAAATAAAATAATTAACATTTAAAATGTAATAAGATTAGAACTATTTAGATGAAGGTATGTTGGATATTGATACCTCTTGGACTAAGAACGCCAAGGCTGTGGATAAGGCGATTTTTCAAAGCGAGGCGGGTAGTATGATCGCCAGAGCAAGATTTTAATGCTGTGACAGATATGTCATCTTTACCGCTGTGGTCAGGGCTATTAAAATGAAGAGGGATTGGTTTGAGTGTCTTCTTGTCAATATCAGAGAGGTGTTCCCGGAAACGATCAGCTAGCTTCCTGCCAGTCTCCCCAATGTATGCCATGCTGCATCGTTTGCAGATAATTGCATAAATTACGTTGCGGGATTCGCAAGTAAAAGGTTCCCTAATTTGAAAAGAACCATTAGGGAAACTGACCGAAGAAGTCTGGAAAACGAAAGGACATGTTTTGCAGGTGCTGCGTGAGCACTGAGTAGTCCCAAGAGGAAGTGCTGTATGGATCAGTGGGAGTCGGCTTTGGACAAGTATGTCTTTAAGGTTGCGATCTCGTCTGTAAACTAATCTAGGTTTCTCACTAAAGATAATACTGGTGTCCGGATCAGAGCGGAGGATGTCCAAATGACGAAAGAATACTTTGGAAGCAACCACATTGTTAGGGTGAAAAGTCAAGATCAATTTAGGTCCCTCATTGGTGGAGTTACGTTTGGTAGGAAAAGCATCTCTCCTGGTGATTGCTAAAACTTTGTTTAGAGCCCCTTGTAGAATGTGTTCCGGATAGAAACGGGCACGGAAGAATTCAAGAAGTTCAACTGATTTATCAAAAAAGTCAGAATCACAAAGCACAACCTTGGCAGTTAGAGGAGCTGTGAGTATGAACTAGAATTTCTACAAGGTAGTAGGTGAGACGACGTATAGAGAAGATAACTGTGAGAATCCGTCGGTTGGTAGTAGGCTGTGGTCTTCAATGACAGGAAATCAATGAAGACCGTGATGTCAAGAGAGTTTAGTGAAGTGGTGGAGATCAGTGAGGAGAATTTGATAGCCGCATTGAAATTGTTGATGTAATTGATAAAATGGTCAAGCTCAACCATGGACATTTCGGTGATACCAACGCCATCATCTATGTATCTCCTATACATCTCCGGAAACTTGCCCGGGTATGATAAACTGACCTCGTATTCCAGGTGGCCCATAAAGAGGCACGCGTAACTAGGACCCATCTTGGTGCCCATCGCAACCCCACTGATCTGGTCAAAATACTCACCATTAAACTCAAAAGAGTTGAGGGTCAGTACCAGTTCGGCAAGGCGTACAAGAACTGAAGTAGGGATGATCGGGTTGGACCTTCTGTCCAAAAAGAACTGGAGTGCTCTAAGACCATCAGAGTGAGGGATAGACGTATAGAGGGAGCATACGTCTATCAGGAAAAGATTATAGGTTTTACCGGGAAGTAGTCTGATGGATTCGAAAATGTTGAGGGCATGGTTGGTGTCCTTGACAAATGAAGGGAGACTTGTGACAATTGGTTGGAAAATACTATCTAAAAATTCAGAAAGATACACCGTGGGACAGGAGCATGCAGATACAATGGGACGTCCAGGGTTGTTAGGCTTATGGATCTTAGGCAGCAAGTACATACACGGTTTGCCAAGTTGGCTGTCAAAAACACGCATATTGTTGGCCTGCTTAGGAAGAGTACCCTGTGAAATAAATGATTGTAACGTGTCCTTGACTTTCTTATTGTTGGAGACTGTGGGGTCGTCCCTTCTTGCGGAATAGAAAACGGGGTTTCTGAGTTGGGTACTGGCTTCCTCAATATAAAGATCCTTCCTCCAAACCACTACAGCGCCCCCTTTGTCAGCTGACTTTATAACAATATCGTTCCTCTTTCTGAGGGAGGAGAGAGCCCGCCATTCACCTTTGGAGAGGTTGGATTTAGGTAAAGGCCTTTGTTCCAACTGTTGGATAGTATGAAGCGTGTGGCTGATGTATAGATCAAGCGCCTTAGATTTACCAGCAGGAGGAGTCCACTGTGAACGGGATTTGTTGGCCGTTGAAAGAAATGTAGTTTCGTCAATAGGCCCAGTGGGGGCAGGTGGTTGACCCCAGTGATGATGTTTCAGGCGTAGACGGCGATAGAAGGAGTGTGCATCCTGGAGGAGAGTGTATTTGTCAGCACGTGGTCTTAGAGGGACAAATTTCAAGCCTTTACTAAGGAGTGAGCGTTCATCATCGGAGAGGGGTAGGTCGGGTGGGATGCAAACAACAAGGTTTTGGGCTAAGGCTGGATTAGCAGGTGCTCCAAAGGATTGTGGGGGCCGGAGGCAGTTCATTTTATTCTTCTTCGTATTGGTAAGGAAAGAATACCACTCCTGATTAGTGGTGTGAATAGTAGAGCGGATGATCAAATAGGCCAACCTGTTGTTGGTTAAGAGCCTTCGTAGATTGTAGACCAGAATATCAATCTGGTCGCCCAGTTGTTGGAGGTGGCGTTCGTGTGCATCTTTCGGGATAATTTTTAAACGTAAACATCGTTGTAGAAAATTCCGATGAGATGTAACGCTGGTTTTCTTAAACGTGGTGAAAGCGAGATTTTTAGCAGTCTTGTTGCATGGCATGGAGGTGTGTCGGCACACGAACTGATACATGCTGCAGGAGATTGCAGATTATGGTCAGGCATGATCGCCCATGCCAGTAGGCAAGGCACCTGATGATGATGATCTGGGTCTGCTTGAACTTCTTTTTCTAGTTGATTTTTTGTGTTTCGTTTTATTTTTGAGCTTCTCGTGTTTATAGTTTTGGTACTTGGGCGAGTTGTTTGAATATGACAGGACTGTCTGTTTGACTTTTTACACAAGACAGGGATGCGAATTTTGTACTGTTTTAACAAAAATGGAGCAATTATAGTTAGTGTGGCCTGCTGAGACCCCGACTGATAGTCTGATAACCAAGTCTCATCCTTTCCCCTTATCTCCATATTCTGGGGGCTTGGCCTGGCCAGGAGTTGACAGGTTTTACTTTTTATAAAACAACATGGCAGCCTCCATCAGCACGTCCTTATTATGATGACAAATGTTGTGTGTATTAATAATTAAGGCATTATTAGTAACTTTGCTGAATTTAGTAAATGACTAAATCTATTCATGGGCGTCATTAAAATAAGTAGATTTACGTTTTCTCATTTGTCATTTCTACCGAAGCTTGCCAGTAAACCACAGACGTGGTTGTCACGACGGCTACCGTACTTGAACTACTTGTTTGAATCGCTAGGTGGAGGTCGGTCCGTCTCCTCTCATCACCGATCTAGACATTGTTTAGACAGTTTGCCCCAGTCAGACTGCTGGGACATGACAGCCAACGTGGTCAGTGACGGGGATACACAAACCCGAGTCATTAATCTGTGTCAGAACAAACTGAGGACAGATATACACGAGGGCAATGGATTATCCAGAGGTAAGTAAGCTACTTTGATTCTTGTAGTTAGGAGTCTAAACTAAAATTAAAGTAAAGCAGAGCTTTCCAAACTGTTGCGACACATTACTATTTAGGCTGCATGGAGAACGTGTGTTACCATGAAGGCATATGTGTCTGTATCTCGTATAAAGGGGTTAGTTTTTTTCTTCTTTAATTTTCTAGTTATACCCAATACTGACTGTATAAAGTACAAGAGATACAGAATGCAGGATGCTGCACTACCTTCTTGATTATAGTTATCCATTTTCCAACCATTTAGGACAAAATACAGATTTTCCAAGCAGGTGCCTATCTCAGAGTCAACACAGGCACAAAACACCTGCTAAATAGGGAAACCTAGATGAAAAAAGGCAGCAGATTACAGTCCACAGAGGAAAATCTTGGGGGGAGGGGGGGGGGGGCGCTGTCATTTCATTTATACACAGATGCGGGTCTGTTGTTCACCATGTGCAAAGCTTTTATTTGCTCACATTGGAGAGAGAATTGTCAATAATAGTGAACTACTAGAAGCAAGATTCTTGTGCTTTTTTTTTTTTTGCTTTGACTACAAGTAATAGGCTATCCTCCCAATAGGGGTCCCAAATTATCGAGGCTAAAAAAATACCCTAACAGGGCCTCAATGTTTGTGACTGTGCCGCCAAGAAACTGCGCTAAATATTCAGTTCAGTAATCAACGTGCAACTAGTGCTGCCGTGGTAACGTCACATCCGTGTAAGTTCCATCCATAACCCTTCAACTGATAGTGTCGCGGTTCCACTGTTGTGACAGATTCTGGTGGCGGTGTTGTGTTAGGGTATTTTCTTAGCCTCGATAATTTGGGACCGTTATTCGGAGGATAGCCAAGTAATCTGGGAAGATCATGCCAGTGACCTAATAATAACATGGCTGGAGACACAGATTTCACCCACAGATGCTTTCTGAGTGACTCAATGAGTATGCTCAAGAAGATAGAGATGGACTAGATCCACAGACAGTGGTTGGTGTCTCTGGGGCAGTTAGGACTGACAAAGATCCGTTTAATTTTCATGTCAGAGCACATAGGTGTGCAAGGGAACGAGCAGGCTTGCAAGTAAGGCTACAGTAAAGGGGAAACAAACCATGGACCAGGCTGATATACTAAAGACTGTATGAGAGGTAAAAGATTTATGAGAACCAAGTAATTGAATCTGCAGTCATGATCAGACTGCAAGAATAGCAAGTTTAAAAGAGGGTATGGCCAGACACGAGCGCTGTAATTTGCAGGAAGCCAAAGAAGAATAAGAAACCAAGCCAAAACTAGTGTCATCAGCCACTACGTACTGCAGAATTTACTAAAGAGGAGATCTGGATATTTATGGTTTGATGTGCTGTGAGGATAATCTGTGAATTAACTGTGTTGCGAAAAAGTGTTTGTCACAAACATGAAAAGTTTAGAAAGCTCTGGTCTAAAGTGCAAAGTGGACAGTCACTAAGAATAGTTATGTACATTTAAAGTAAAGACAACATGTTAGACAGCCAATTCTCATGCAGTTTCGACATTTTCTAGTTAGGGTCTAAAGCAGAGCTTTCAAAACTGTGTTGCAACACATTAGTATTTCAGCTGCAGTACGAATGTGTTTGACAGGAAGACAGATGTGTCTATATCTCTTATAAGAAGTTAATTTAACCTCTAGTTTAATAGTAGTATGCTGTATACTGTGTCATGAAATTATGTTGTCTAAAAAAAAGCGTCATTAACATAGAAAGTTTGGAAAGCTCTGCTCTAAAGTGTGAAGTGACACTTGGACTCCTGTCATTCATTTGTCATTTCACTGATACCAGGTTGTAGCCCAGTGTCATGGTTTTCTGAATTTGTCTTGCGTGGCTTGGGTGGTGGATTTATTCATCTTTTTGCAGATTTGAGCTACGCCATTTATCCATCTCTTTCCTGGTCTTCCTCCCAGATGTTCTGCTGTAAAAAAGTTTGATCTGGCTGCATTCTCACTAGATGACTGAACCATTTCATTATTTGTCTGTCAGTGTAATCCACCTATGGTCTTATTCCAACTTTCTCTCTAATGCTGGTAACCTTGTCTGTTTTTGTGTTGTTAGTGACCTTGCGGAGACAGCACATTTCATATGTTGTTATTCTCTGTTCTAGTGCCTTATTTATTGTTCATGTTTGGCACTGATAACTTAAAGTAGGGGTAAATATGCTATTAATCATTTGCTGTTTTGCTGGAAAGGAGACATTTGGGTCTCTAAGCAGTAGGGCTAACTGGTAGGTGACAGCATTTGCCTTCTGTACTCTGGCTTCTATCCCTCTGTTTGATCTTGAATACCATAATCTTCTTTCATTGGAATAGCTAGACTTGATGGCCGTAACCTCCACATCAAAGATACCTCAGTTACCCTGGATATATCATATCAGTGTGTCTGTATTTCCATATGTACCCCCAGATATCAGCCGAGTGGTGTCGTTAAGTGCCACTTGCCTACAGAAAGGAGGAGTCATTGCCGTTCCAACAGACACAATATATGGAGTTGCCTGCCTGGCTCAGAATACAGAAGCTATTGAGAGAATCTACGAGATCAAGCAGAGAAATTTCCAGAATCCTGTCGCCATTAGTGTTGGGGAGATTGATGACATCTACAAGTAAGTAGATATATTTTACCTACATGTACAGATAAGTAGATATATTTTACCTACATGTACAGATAAGTAGATATTTTAATTTACATCTTTGCGTAATGAAATTTAAAAAAATGTTTATCTACATATAAGTAGATATTTTAGTATTAGAACGCTGCGCTGGCTACTGAAGATAGGGATGGAGCACATATGGGAATGCCCCGGGTGCTGTGATGTCAATTCTTGATTCAACTCAACATATTGTAAGTAAAAATTTTAAATCTTAGATATACAGGTACCTAGATGTTTTATTTGCATCTACAATTAAGTAGATATTGTTATCTACACCTACAAGCAAGTAGACATTTTTTATTTACAAGTATAAAAGTCTACGTTTACAAGTAAGTATATATATATTTTATCTATATCTACTACAAGTCTATGTTTTTATCTGTATCTACGACCATATGTTATTATCTTTATCTGCAAGTATATATTTTTAAATCTATATTTACAAGTATATATATCTTATCTACATTAACAAGTAAGTAGACAATTTATCTACATCTTAGTGAAGAACATGTTTCTACACCTTAACTGTGATGCTTGATAGGCATATGATCCAACCCCTCTTCCCCCCTTAAGGAAAAAAAATTCAGGATGTGGGTTGTGTATTAGAATGTCCTACTCGTGTTATGTGACATTCTCTATGCACGTTATACTGCAGTTCACATTGACATATTGTGGTGCATCAGAACTGACCAAGACTCGTCTACAGCTCTGTGTAGTCAGCCTAGAACCAGGTTCCCTACTGGCGCCTGACAAGTGTAAGGATCTGCTATTTCTGCCTGAACTGGGCTACAGCTATCCTTAAATTTTAGTAACCACGAGTCTGTACAAAATGAGCGTGCTGAAGTCCTTGAACAAGACCAAAGTCTTGTGACCAACAGGTGACCAATCAAAACTTTCTGCTGGAGTTTACAGCTGGTCAATGCACAAGATCAATGTGATGTGAACTTATGTATTCACACACATTGTCAGTTTTTTAGAGATAGCACATGGGATGATCCCCAGCACACGGGACATAGCACGTCTTCTTCTTCTTAGTGTTCAGCGGCTTTAATCTCTGGAAGAAAATCCTGGTTGTTGGTCCACTTCTCGACTTTTGACCATCTGATTTACAGATTATTTGTTTACAGACTGTTGATTTCATAGCTCTCAGGCAGATGTAGTCTGACTTTGAGGGATACATCGATCCTGTCTGCACTGGCCAGTCCTCCGTTGAGACCCTGTTTCTAGGATGACCATAGAGAGTCCTGGTGCTGCACCATGAGTGATTCAGTGCCTCTCCATCCTGGAATGTCACTTGATAATGGTCATTCTGCAAAAATGAAAAAGTCAGCTTTATGGTCACCAAGAAGAAATGAAACAAAATTAGAAATCATCTCAGCTGTTGCCTGTTCTAACAATTTCCCATTTCCAACAGATGGAGTAAGGTCACTGTTCCACGAACGATCTTAACAGATTTGCTTCCTGGGCCAGTCACTGTGGTATTTGAGAGGAGTCCTCAGCTCAACCCCACCCTGAATCCACATACGAATCTTGTAGGTATCCGCATTCCAAACCAGTTGTTTATACAGACGCTAGCCAAACAGTGTGCAGCTCCCATTGCCTTGACCAGTGCAAATGTCAGTGGATCCAAAAGTTGTCTGCAAGTTGAGGTTTGTTTCTTTTATTGACCCTGAGTTTCTAGTTTTATATGTCCTGACCTCACTCTCCAATATGCTATGCTAACATGTTTGCATTCTCCATGATGTTAACATTATCATCTTCTTATTCATTGCTCTCTCTCTCTCTCTCTCTCTCTCTCTCTCTCTCTCTCTCTCTCTCTCTCTCTCTCTCTCTCTCTCTCTCTCTCTCTCTCTCTCTCTCTCTCTCTCTCTCTCTCTCTCTCATTTAAAAAAAAATTTTTGTAAACAATTTTTTTCTGTCTTTATTTTCTTCGTTCACCCTTAAAAGTGCAGTTGGAATATTGTGTTGTGGTTTACAGCCAGACTACAATATTTGTTACTTTCAAAACAACACATCTAATTTCAGCAAGACCTTAATTAGTAGCTTTTTCCGAGAGGCTTGTTAGGAAGCAGTGGGTCTTTTCTTTGTTTCCCACAAATGGAGCTCCGGAACCCAAACAGGAATTTTCTGTCTTCTTCTCCTTCAGCAGTTTATGTTGTTTCTTTTGGGTGTAATTACTTTAGGACTTTTTACAGTGATCTATGATGTTCTCTTCTAGAATGTGCATTTTTGGATGGCTGTTTTTGTCCTTTTCTTATTTACCATCATTTCCATTGTTTGTTACTTTCCCATCACCCATTCTTTTGTGGGTCAAATCACTAACAGAACTGTCTAGTAGTTGCCCGTATCAGTCTTGTTCAACCTTTTTTTACACTCACAGGCATGCAAAACAGGGGAAATTGTTTTGCAGACCACCTGGCCAGCTAACCAATAACAGAAACAAAACTAAATGTAGTAATTAGTCTGTTAAAAAAAGCTTTAACAGAATTACAGTTTTCAGCTAGTGCAACATCTACTACTGTTTAGAGGCTAGAAATTATGATATACATGTGAGACACAAAGTCTAACTGGCTGTGCACCAGTGTAGTGTCAGAATTATGCCGCTACTAGATCATTAGGTAAACAAAATTGGTCTGCCTACTTGTGATCTGAGGGCTACTAGTTGAAGAAAACTGGTCTGTATTATCTATGCACAGGTGAAGAAGGAAGGGAGATGGACATTTCTTGTGATAATGGTCTAGTCTGAGAGCCATTTTTTTTTTCAAGAAACATGTTTTTTTTTTTGAGTCAATACCGATTTGTAGCTGAGGCCGACCTGCTCTGAGGTCACTAAACGGGCCACGATTTGCTGACCACTGGACTAGTATATATGACATGTGAAGAACGTCTGGCTCTGAAGCTGTAGCATATCTAAATTGTCAAGTTAAAGGAACCTTTTTTCCATTCCAATGGCTCTGTGTTGGCCATGTGATGCTAGACTCAGATTTGTGTAGACTCTTTAGCCCTCAATGGATGATATGGTCAGTATCATCCTGTACTTTCCAGGACTTTACCTGGTACCCATTTCAGGCTGGGTCAACCTGGGAGACAAGGTCATTTGGGTGGGGGGGGAGAACCTAGGTGGATACGGATTTGAACTCAATACCTTTGGGCTGGCAGGAGAGTGTCTAGCCTCTGAATTAAAAAAAATTATTAGCGTGATGCTGACCACATCACCCATCTTGTGCCGATTGGTCTATACAAATATAGGTCTAGCCCTATACACCTAAAGGCGTGGAAAAAGGTCCTTTACTTACTTACAAGTTATTATACAAACAAAAGCACCGTATTTGTTTAAATATATATTTGATTGTTCTGACAGGAGTTTGAAAATCTTTGGCCAAAACTGGATCTTGTTGTAAATGGTGGCAAGTTGAGTGACACTGAAGAATCCCGCCTGGGCTCCTCTGTTGTAGATCTGTCTGTGCCAGGAACTTTCCGCATCATCCGACCTGGAAGGTAAACATGTCTTTTTAAACATCACACTAGCAAGGCTACATCAGGTCCCAGGAAACTATCTGTTAAGTTAACCTGGTCAACAAATGCTTGTGGAAGTTGGACATGTCGGCTGAAAGGCGCAAATATCGCAGATAAGCTGTAGCAGGCAAAGTACAGTTAAGTCACTGGGATTAAAAAAAAAAAAAGATACGTCTTTTAGCTTGGGTAAAGTAATATTTTGACTTATGTTAGTACAAGTCCAGCGAGTATGGTATGGTTGTATTGTGTATTTTGAGGGAGGTCATTGTCTTTGACACAGAAGCCTGGATACAGAGAGGTCAAAGGATAACATATTCATTGATGTCAAATGTGCAAGATTTCCAGGTACTTCTTCTTCATAGCATTCACTGGCTGTAAACTTCAGTGGAGAGTTTTGGGGGTTTCTCCACTTCTGGACTTTTGGTTTAGCTCCAGATGCATGTGCATCTATTTTACACATCTGGCTTATTTGTATACACGCTGTTGATTCCTCTCCCTGCCTGTCTGGCAGATGCACTCCGACTTTAAAAAATAAACCCAGAATTAGTTGCCTTTTACATTTTTGTTGGGGTTAGTGGGTAAACCCCTACCTCCACCCCAAATGGGATCACAGAACCAACTCAGTAGTGTATACACGTAAGTAAGATGTAAGGTAAGTAAAGAATACTTTGGCTATCCTCCGAATAACAGTCCTGAATTATCGAGGCGGAAAATATACCCTATCAGGGCCCCAGTCTTGTGTCAATTGTGCACTTCCGTCGCCTTAAATTACGCACTTCCCCGGAAGATAACAATTCGGCGTTGGCGTTATAGTCCCTGGAAGTGCGCAGTTGACACATGACAGGCCATGTTGGGGTATATTTTCCGCCTTGCTAATTTAGGACCGTTATTCGGAGGATAGCCAATACTTTTGTAATGTCTTTGGCATGTCAGGCATATAGTGCTAGACTTTATTTTTGTATACACCGGTTTGCACAAGATAGAAGATGTGTTCAGCATCATGCTAGCAGCTTTTACTTTCCTGGACATTACCTTGTACCCCACTACATACATATATGTATAATCAAGTGCCGTGCTGACTGGCGTCTGCGATCATGCCTCTCCACAACCTATGATCTTCAACAGCATGTATCAGGTCATGTACTGACTGACACCCTTCCCTGACATAATTAAAAGCTGTCAAGAATCTACTCAAACCATCTGCCTGTTTTTGTCTTTCCACAGATTTTTCCACTGGTCACAACATATTCCATGTTCCCTCTTCTCATAGACCAAAAAAAAAAAATGGCCTAAAAAAATTAGTCTCCTTTGGATGTTTGTGATAAGTTGTCTTCGCCTCTTTCTCCTTTTTTCATTCATCTGAGTGTCATAATTGTTTTGTGCCTTTTTACAACATAGCTGAATATTCGCACCTTTTAGCCAACACATTCAACTTAATCAAGCATTTGTTGACCGGATTAACCTTTCCAGTTGGTTTGGCGGGACGTAGCTTCATTCGTATCCTCTTTGTCCCTTTATCTACAAGTGTTGCTCCTGGAGAACCTATCCAGGGCATCCGTGTGTAGACTGGTTGACCCTCATTCCTTCCTTCCTTCCATTTATGAATAATGAAACACAAAATTGACCATGTTCAACCTACTGTGAGTAGCATCAGCTATAATTGTGGCCTGGTTTTTTGTGTGCCAAATTAGTGGCTAAGAAATGTTAATTGTACTAGAACTAGTGACTCTTACCAGTACTCTAGTATACAGTGGGGGGGGGGGGCGCCTGGTATGCACTATATGCATCCACACACATACATAAACATACATGTACAGTTACATATATATACATAATATGCACGCCAACGTGGGAATGCACATATACATGTTTTTATACACTCAAAGACACTCGTCTGTTGATCAGGGGAAGATCATGGGCATTTCCTGCTATCCAAAGAGACTTCCATAAATGCAGAGCTGACACATGACACTCTGGTCCTGGGCTCTCCCAAAGAATCATCATGTCCTGCACATGACTGCTTGACCTCACATCCATGTACTGAGCTTTTGGAAATCAACATAGAGCAGCCCGCAGGTCCCAGACTTTGATGACCACATAGATGGGCAGTCTCCTGCAGCCCATAAGACGCTAATGTTGCTATATCGGGACACCTAGTACAACAGCATAGGAAAAGCATGCATCAGGCATGGTTTACCCATTTGGTCCAGACACTGATGAGTGGGGGCCAATGGTAGTGGGCATCTGGACCTTGTCTGCAGAAGCACCAAGCAGGTCCGAGACTTTGGGTGCAATCTCCTTCAGTACATTAGACAACTCTAATGTTATTGTACTGAGACAAAGGAATAATGAATGAAAATGGAGAATTATTCACTGATTGTTGTAAGGAAACCAGTATATTAACCAGTATACCAGATTCCTGATTTAGTCATCAAGCAACTTGGAGCTCCATATTTTGTTAAGGCTTTTAAAGACTGTTGTTGCTTTGCCAATGCGTGTCATAATTTCCTTCTGTTTATCTCCTTGAGAGTAACAATTGCCACCCAAATAGGTTAAATGGTCCATTACTTTTATTGGTTTGTTCTCTAGCATGAGGCCTGCATGATCTGTTGTTGGTATCTTTAATATATTTGTTTTTTCGTACACATTAATATTCATGAAAAGGTTGGCCGAGGTTTGTGTAATTACTTGGGTTGTAAGCAGTTAATGGGGCAAGTTCTTCTTGGTAAATCTCGAGAAAATGGTTGCCACCACACAGGTTGCCTAGAAAGTTCGGTGTATACATGAATCTTGGTAGTTATTTATATTATTATACATTTATAGACTGATAAAAAATGGTTTAAAAAAACCTGTGGCAGAAAATCTGGCAGTAGAGTGTGAAGTGGTCGGCCATAACAGTATCTAGCCCATGACCTAATTAAGTCAGCTGGCTGGTTCACTTCCTTATCACCAACTCTGTAAAACTGTGTCTTGTCTTTTAGTGCACACAAAGCCACAGTGGCATGTCTGCGAGACAAGCACAGACTAATGGATATTTTGATGGGTCAACAAGACAGATAACCTTCCAGATTTTGTCATTAAGATGTTTGTGTAAGATAGCCATATATTATTTTGCTGTAAAAAAATTATGTCTTGTCTTTCAGTGCTCACAAAGCCACAGTGGCGTGTCTGCGAAACAAACACAGACTGGTGGAGATTTCAACGAGTCAGCAAGACAGATAACCTTCTAGATTTTGTTGTCAGGATTTTTGTGTAAAATAGCCATGTTGTAGTGAATTATAATAAAGTTGTGCGATTCTATGTAGATGTCTTACTTTCATCAATTTGGTTTCCAGACTTTCTTCTTTCATCCAAATCGACTTTTAAAAAAAGTAGCGTTTTTTTCCTCTATCGGGATTGAAGTCTGTAGGATTAACATGTCAAGGCTAAGAATCACACAGGTACTAATCCTGGAAACCTTATTTAACCATATAGCCATATTGCACAGTTATACTGGGTCACCAAAAACTGTTACAAAGTAACACACATAAATGCACATAGGTGCACATGAAAACAAAAAAGACAGACATAAACATTAAATAAAACAGTACACATATTAAGCAGGCATTTTATTTCGTGACAACTGGCAAACTTGGAGTGTAGGGGGAAATTGAGGGCAAGATTAAGGGATCAGTAATGGGATGGTTTCGTCACACGGCATAGGTGGCCTAAGAACACTGCTCTTATCTGTGAGTCTAGTGATCTCATGAGCTGGTGGAGTAACATGAAATGATAACATTAAAAATAAAGAAATTATAAGAAGACTAAAACCATCTATACAGTTTACTAAAGAAAGAGCCACAGATGAGATGGTCTGGCCGTCTGATGAGAATACTCTGATACCAAAGCCACAGAGAGCCACACTGAAGAAATATATATAACACAGAGCAAGTTACAGGAGGAAGTGAAGAAGATAAAGAAACCAGTGCACTGCTGAGAAAGCCAGTATCTAGTTTTACAGAGACATTAGATCAAGATAAGAGAATTGTTGATAGTTTGGTCATGTTCTGAGACAAGAGGGTCGCAGGAAGATTGTGATAACAGAAAAAGCTCAAGTATGGTAGAGACAATTATGTTTTCAGAAATAATTATAGTTTTCTAATAGACGACATTTAAACAAAGTACAAATGAAGATGTTGTTTTCCTGCTTATTCTTCTTCTTCAGCATTCAGAGCCCTTGAGGTTCATTGCTGCAAATATCACCCGCCTCCACTCATCTCTCTGTTCTGCCTTTTCTTTCCTGCTTTGTTTTATACATATACTAAAAAAAAGGTGCACAGTGTGCAGCTTAACTAGTAGTATCAGCACAGTTTTCTAAAGACAACGTACAGACACATCTGTCTTTGAGATGTTTTGACATAAGTATCATGTCGAGCATTCTGTAGTCACTCATGTGGGTTTACCCTCCACCTGTCTGTCCTCTGTTACCTTTATTATTGTTATTGAACTAACAAGTATACAATCATGTAATAATGGGTGATGTTAGGAGTTCGAGAATGTGAATATATTCTCAACATCATAAATTATTAACATCTAGAGAAATGAGTAACTCAGAATGAGAATTTTAAAATGTTATGGATACCTAATAAGAATGTCTAACAGGGAGCCCCACTGAAACATTACAACGGGTATAGAGCGAGTGGAAGACTTCAGAAAATATGGAATTAAGAACAGCCTTACAGAAATGAACATCTGAGGCTCTTGACAGAGCTCAGCAATGAATGTTACATCTCCCCCTGACACTTCGCTGAGGTACAAGGCGGAAGAGAACAAGAAATATACTCAACCTTGCTGTGTGGTGCAGAAGCCTAGGCAGTTAACAAGCAATTAGAAAATCATATTGCGTCTCCAGATATTTTGATATACAGAAAAATAGGTCGTATTTCATGAAAGTAAAATCAACCAAATACATGGGTCAAAAGAAGAGATTAAAATGTATACAGTGATACAATTGGGAAATTAACATTGAGAGATGGATAAACAGTCACAATTGTAAGAAGTATCTGAAAATTACTTCTTTGTCTACTGAATTTGTTATCAGCCATGCTTATCATTCAGTCTCGTTTTGGTCGCAAACATGGTGGTGCGTCTAAGGTCGCTGTGGGTTCCCCTCAGCTTGTCTTGTAATGAAGCTCCATTTGGGTCAGATGCATAACCGGGAGTAGTTGAGGCAGTACACGCTCAGGAGTTGGCTTTCTGCTCCACAATCACAGGTGACAGATTCTCTTATGCTTATCTTGTGTAGGTGTGCTTCAGGACTGCAGTGTCCTTTTTGTTTATGCTGTCACTCTCCCATCTGAGGGCTCCATTGTAAATTCTCTACTTTCCCTTGAAAATCTGCCTTACGGTGATTATGGTTTCATTGTAAGTTCGTGGTGGGTTAGGTTGTGGAAGTCTACTCAACAACAAGTCACGATTGTCGTCACAACTGATTTCCTGCGTCAAAGAGTGACAGTCTACATTCTTTGGTCACATCATGAGAAGAAGGAAACTGAAGCATGTCAAGACAGCGAAAAGTTTGAGGGGAAAAGAGGCAGAACAAGACTAACATCCGACAAGTTTAGCACAGCGGAATGCAAAAACGTCTATTCAGAAAACTAGACCATCTTATAGAGGATTGGCAAGCCAAATTCACCTTTTTTCAAATCAAATTTATCTTTTTGCAAATCTGACTTTGTTTTGTAAAAGATGTGACTTTGGTATGTGAAGTAGTGAACTAGAATTACAAAGTGATCAGTTTGATTTGCAAAATTGTGAATTTGGTTTGCCACTCTGGTATAAAAACATTTAAACTCATTTAATTTATGTATGAAATCAAATAGAAGCCAGAGAGAGGCAATACTTCAATTACTAACAGTGTTCTTAGATGTATACTTGAGAAAATTGGTGAACATTAAATTTACTGAATTCAAGAAAGATGCAGAAATAAGAGATACATTTGGGTATCAACAGTTATAAGACAAAGAAGGTGGCACTATGTTGGACACATCCTGAGGAAAATCAAGCAGAGAATCACCAAAACAGACACTTGAAAGGGAAACACATGGATTTAGGAAACGAGAACGTCCAAAAGAACCCCTGAGACGATCATTCATGAGAAGGGCCAAAAGGGTTAGACTGGATTCCATTCATGATATTGAAACAGTTGCACAGGATGGAGTCAGAGAATAAACTGCGAGTCCTGTGTAACATAAACCGACATATAGAATGAAATCTTGGAGTAGATTTAGCGCCACATTGTTCTCTGCATTGAACCCCAGTTCTGAGGGAGACCAGTTGCTGCTCTTAAATTCCTGGGATGTTCCTGGCACGATAATCAAAGTTGTTGACGATCTCTCTTGATTCAAAGGTGTTCTCATGGTGTTCTGCTCGCCCCAACAAGTCGCGGACATCATATGGGCGATACTGGCGAATGCGGCGTCTTCTTTGGACATCTGTGACAGCTTGGACTTGATGCCGGCCTCCCTGGAGCTCGTGGAGGTAATTCTGCGAGGAGCAGAGACGAGGGTGAAGACACGTGCAACATCTTGCGTGACAAAAGGAAACAGTTCACAAAAGGAAGACATACGGCATCTAAAGTGGTAGACATTTCAGACACTACAACATCTTATGGGACAAAAATCTAAGGTGATAGACATTCACAAAAGTAAGACACATACAGCATCTAAAGTGGTAGACATTTCACACACATACACTACAACATCTTATGGGACAAAAATCTAACCTGATAGACATGCACAAAAGTAAGACACAAACAATATCTAACATAATTAAGTAGCTACACAAAAGAAACACACGTATTGTATTGCGAAATTCTAATAAACGCCTGAAAGAAATGATTAGGCCTATATGATTTACAAAGCAGCAAAATATATTCTGAAAAATCAATTAACACTCTTTGTATCCCAGTTATAACCAAGAGGGTTAAACATGTTATTACTACTACTTGTGACTTGACTGATAAAGTTCTAAAAATGGAAGACATACAACTTTTAGCATTATTTAAAAGCTTTACAAATAGAAGAAGAGACAGGGTATAACTTGGGCCAGCGTTTTACCCTATTAAAACTGTAAACATGACATTTCACCCCCTTGAAATCCCCCCCCCCCCCCCATACCATCTTTATTATTCCTTGAAACTCTACCTGTCTACACTAACAATACGTCTTTTTTTCAGGACGTTTTTTTTTTTTTCTCACATCAAATATTATTTGAATTCGGGCAAAACGGTTAAATATTATACACAATGATGTTAAACACATTTATTTTCTTATTCCTTGTACGAGGCGTTGGTAGTCGTGTCTACACTAACAATACGTCTTTTTCAGGACCATTATGGCCAAATGCCTGAACGCGGTTTCTGGGACCTCTCCACGGTGATCCTCATCCGCATGGTGGCACTTTGTGTCATCGGGTGTTTATCGCTTGTGTGATGTCCTGGTGGGGTATAAAAAGCCAAGCCATTTCTGACCATGCCACGGTGTCAAACTGTCCAGCATCTTTCTCTGTCAGTCTACATCTTCCTCTTTTCATCTCTAACCTCGCCACCGTCATGATGTACTCCAGGTTTCTCATCATGACTCGCAAAACTTTTTTTTAAATAATAAGAAGGTGCCGGTACTCTCAACAGAGGTGCTGGAATTCAACACAAAGTGTCCATTACAGTAGCATAGAAGAAGGGGAGTTGGAATGATGTCTTAATTGATTAAAAAATGGGGAGGTACTCCGTACTGCCAGAAAAGAAAACCCTGATGATATGTCTAAAGAATGTAAACTGTCTCCTTCTGATACGGATAATTAATTCTTTTCATGAGTGCATACTCTAACGTTATCACGGAGCTCTACAAGTCAAAGAAACATATAAAAAATAACGTTTCGGCTAAAGTCTTTCTAGGATGTAGGATACAATTACCCATAATTAACTGCAGGCTACCTGGTAACCGTCGTGTGCCGGCGCGCATACACACACATACACATACGAAAATGCACCTGGTTATTCCTGAGCTGCAAGCCCAGTACACCTTCTAGAGCCAGGAACTGCATCCGCATCAGCCTGTGAGGCTGGCCATGGAACAGATGGTTAAACAAGTGAGGCAGGTGTTGGAAGTCGCCATGGCCCGCTGCGTTACTGGACGAAAACATTATCAGACTGTGGTCACAAAGCAAGTCACACGCATCCTAAT